TTCGTTCAAAAAATAAAAAAATGTCCGTTTTGACGAAATCACTGTTCCATGTGAAAGTACCTGTTGGTTGGGTTGTGTGTGTGGTGAAGCAAGAAATGTATCCAAGGCCCCTGCTACTTAAAAAAAAACAAAAAAGTATATTGTCAACCATGTACCAGAATATATTACTGGCTTAGCGCGCGTGGTGCGGGCGGTGTGAGCTACGCCCGCATAAAAAGAAAACACGGCAAAGATCAGCCAAAGTATAGTGTCAACCATGTACCAGATTCAAATGGACATATAGAGCACAACACAGTCAACATGTGCTCAAAACAGGCTGTTTTGAGCACGTGTTGAGTGCGTTGTTTAGAGTACATCTTGAGTGTGTTGTTTTGAGCACATGTTGAGTGTGTTGTGCTCTGTAAGTCTGTTTGAGTCTGTGCGAGTAGTTTGACTGATCTTTGCCGTGGTCTTTTATGCGGGCGTAGCCTGCATTGCCCGCACCATGGGGGCTAAGCTAGTTTTTTTAAAGGGCCGCGCCACACTGTGCGGCAGTGCGATACAGAGGCAATGCTGGAGGGACTGAGCAAGCAAGCTTACCCATGTGACCCCTCCTTGCCCGCGGAAATTAATTTAATATCATTGTGGTCCGATGGGCGGATCAGATATTAAACTGATCCGACACAAAATGAAAAAGCAGTGGTGACCTACAGTGAACTCAGCCCACCCCTGTGCCCAAGCAGACAGCGACTAGCCAGAGCAGACCACACACTCATTTATTGTCGCACGTGGCATGATGCGATTTCCCCACTGGATCTTGGTTTAAAGATGGTCCAATGCTTGTCTTCGATTCCCCAATAGGTCTGTCCAGACCAAGGTAGTTCTACAGTGCAGCAAAGCAGTAAGGACATCAGCGCGAGCATGCGTGAGCTACTCCCTGTGGGTTGACTTTCATCGTGACGCAGTGCTTCGTCCTCCCAGGGCACTTCAGAGGCACCGTCTTTCTCCCACCCCACTAGAATGTGCCACAAGAGGGTAGACTCTCAACGTAGAGCGCTCTCTTACTCACCACGAGAGGACTCCCAAGAAAGACTCACTTCGTCACGGAAAAGAAGCGACAAAGTCTATCAAATGCTGCCTCCAACCACAGCTTTCTCACCAGCTGTGACAACATGCATTTCATTGACCGGTCGAAGCATTGGAACCACAGACAATGGAATGCAAGTGCCTCTATTGCTAATGCCATGTCATCTCGCTCACATCATTCATCACACACCCAATATTTTTCCAATAGCCTTCAGCCACGCCCCTCTATACCCAGGGACGGACCGATTTCCACACAGCGCTATCATACTTACACTGCACGGGAACCAACCCCACGCGCACCGAAGAAACAGATAGCACTGGAGCCGAAAGATTGAGCCTACAAACCTTACACTGCACGGGAACCAACCCCACGTGCACCGAAGAAACAGATAGCACTGGAGCCGAAAGATTGAGCCTACAAACCTGCTCTGATACCAAGTTGCAAGGAAAATGAGAAGTGTGAATGACAGAAACTAAATTGTGTCATTCCATTGAAATCCAGATAGCCATGTGCACGAACTGAGACCAGATTGCAACACGAGATACACCAAATGAAAGCAAGTACTTAAGCAAATTGACAATGAAAGCCCTCTTCTCACCCCTAACAATGCTAACATCAATGTCCACAATGTCGCTCTCCTATATGGCGCTTGGCGCCCAGACTGCAATCAGGCAACACCTATCCACCTCCCATCACCACCAGGTAAGCTCTCTCAGACACCGCCCACTACCCTTCTCTCCCAATCTTTGCCCTTCACCCAAGGACCTCCAGCGCACCTCGTCCGGCTATGCGGGCCCACAGCTCGGCTATGGCTGCAGCGCTCTCCAACTGCTCCCAGGAAGCTTCGACCCAGCGCCGTGCCAGCAACTCCCTCACTCTGCCCGACCTTCTTCCAGCCAGCGTGTGCTTTAGCAGCGTTGCCGCCATCCAGCCAGCAGAATGCTTGAGTGTGAGTGATCCTTCACTGTTTTGTAGTGTCTGGCCGGACGAGGACAGGCTCTGGAGGCTCAGCCGCTGTCCCAGTAGCTGCGCCCAGTGCCCTTCCAGAATGTGCCTGCACTGCGTGGGGCTCAACAGCAAGTGCCCTGGGCCTCAGCATCTTTGCAGGGCCCAGCATCTTCAACCAATCGGGCCTACCGGTTGGTTGAAAATGCCGCGCGACCAACCAACCCACAGGCCCCCATTCTACACACAATGGCCTCAGAAACGGGCCTCATTGATTTTTCACAGGCCTGCCTTCACATAGGGCGGGCACAGACAGTTACAAGTGGGTGCAGGCCCTTTCCAGCGGGCGACAACCCCCCAACTTCGCTTAGGCCGAGGGGCTTATGGTTACATTATGACCCATCACGCCCTCGCTGCACCACTCACTAGATTGTGAAAAAATCAAAAGATGACGCCCATCTTTGTTTACGTGTTTTGGTGGAGGATGTTTTTTTTTTTGGTTTCCCATTGAATCTTCTCTGTTCGGCCAGGTGTGTACTTAGTATTTGAACTACACTGCGAGAAATCGGCCTTCACACACAAAAGAAAAACGATCCTCAAAACCTGGACCGTAATGTGGAGCGTTGAGGTAGTGTTGCAGCATTCAGCTCAGGGAGGCCTGGCCTGGTTCCCAGCAGGTGTCGCCCCCTGCATAGACAGGGGTTCTTGTTTAACGAGGGAAAGAAAAAAGAGATCCAGTGTGCCCTCCCCAAAGACGTTCCTGTTCCCACCGGTTCCCAGGTTTTGCTTTAAGATGACAAGTGGAACCCGCACAGCAACACTTGCTAATGGCGTCAGATTTTTGTTTCATGTCTCTCTCTCTCTCTCTCTCTCTCTCTCTCTCTCTCTCTCTCTCTCTCTCTCTCTCTCTCTCTCTCTCTCT